ATGAAAATATGAAACAATTGAAAACAATAATAAAACAGCAGTATAAAAATTGATTAAACCTTACAAGTATTTGCATAATAACTGCAGTAATGTGTCACTTAAAAATAGTGTTTCAAGAAATATCATGTTTAAATATGTAATTTTCTTCTTCCAGCCCTTTTTTTTTTTTTTAAATTGTGATTTGGGTGAAAGTTTACAGAGCAAATTCACTTTCTATACAGCAGTTCACATATACTTTGTCTCATGTCATTTACCACAGTTTACCACAATGCAACAACTCTCCTCCCACTTCCTCCCCATAGTTACCTCTTCCCAGTGTCCATCCCTCCATACACTCCTGCCCCCTGAGCTATCTCCCTGTGCATAAACAGCCCTTCTTTCTCCCATGATTGTTCTCTCCAAGAAGTGTATCTACTTGAGGTAAATGTTCAACTCATATGCCTGTATTTTGTTTGGCTGGAAACCACAGGTGTTGGTTCAATTCCAGACCTTAAGGGCAGCTAGGGGCCATAGTCTCAGTGGTTCCACCAGCTCTATTGGCCCAGCAAAACTGGTCCTCACTTTTTTTTTTTTTCCTCCAAATGATTTTGAGTTTTGTTCCACATTGTTCTACCTCTCTATCAAGGATCTCCTACATAGATCCCCATCCAAGTGGATCCAGCCCAATTTTTATATCAGTGTAGTTTATCTTTTATGCAAAATAAAAAATCCCCCCATTTTAGGTTTTTACATAAATTTTAGGAGTCATATTCCTGTGTGTCAGAAGCATATTAAAGTTTACTACTCCAATCTGTCTCACTAAATTTTATTCTTGTTTTTAATTGATAACTTGGTGATCTGAGAGTAAAGTTAGTTTTCTGCCTTTCCAAACAATCATTGCTAATTCATTCCCTCTCTCATTCTAACTCACTAAGAGCATATACATATGAACACATGAGAAAATTTTTTAAACGTGAGAAAAGTATTCTGTCTAGGACAAGTTCTAATTACAGTGGAGGGAATGGAGGCTATTTTCAGCATATTATCAGAACTCTACTCTTTTTAAGGAAGCTTTTTATCTCACTGAGAAGAGAATAAATATGAAATTGACTAAATATCAGAAAAAGAAGAGTCACAGGATATTAAATGAGTAATTGCCATATGACTGGTCTAGATAACAAAAAATATGAACTAAGCATTAGGGGTCTGGGAAACAAAAGATATTAGAATTCTCTCTTTAAAGAAAAAATAGTATTTGCATTGTAATTGTACCTAACATTTGTTGAATACCTACTATGTGCTAACACTGGTCTAAGTGTTTACATTTATTAATCTCATAACAACCTGTGAGAACAATATATTGGTTAAACCATATAAATTTTTTGACTTTTTAAAAATACTAATTTTACATGATTCAACCCAATGCTATTATTTTATCCCCATTTTATAAATGAGGAAACTGAAACACAAAGATATTAAATAATTTTCCCAAATACAAATGGTTAGCAAGTGACAGAACTGGACTTCAAACTCCAAGCCTTCAGTTTTGTTATTAACCACTTCATCTTATGTTTTCAGGGAAGAAAATGCTACACTTGCTTAGGGAGGAGGTAGGGTAAGGAATAGAATTCATGGATTAAAATGTGCTGCATATGATTCTCTGTCTTAGTACTTTATGGCTTCCTTGAGTAATGGGACAATATCATGTCTGCCTTGTACTCTACCTATCCCAGGAATTTTAATAATTACACTAAAGTTCCCAGTCATGTAGATGAGTATTGTTTTCATGCAACAGTAATAATCAAGTGAGGGAATGACTATATAAAAGCTATTACTGTCCCAAATATCTGCCTTCAAATTCACCTTGGAGGATAGAAGGTTCAAGGTCAAAAGCTTTCGATCTATATAGATACCACACTAAAAGAAAGGCAAGTTAGAATCTGGCCACTGCTGGGATTATGTAGTCAGGAACAGATACTGATACACACATATAAGTGAGAGAATCTCAAATTATATTACATTCTCTGTGCACATAATTATCAGCCTTAGACTCCGAATTTAGTGAAAGATTTGCAGAACAGTCTAAACCAAAAAACTAAATCCACTGCAGTCAAGTTGATTCCAACTCATAGTGACCCCCATTGGGTTTCTAAGGTGGTAAGTCTTTGCAAAGTAAATTGCCCAATCTTGCTTCCACAGAGTGGCTGGTGGGTTTGAACCACAAGCCTTCTGGTTAGGAGTCAGATACCTTAGGCTACCAGAGCTCCCACATAACAGTCTAGATAGCCCAAATCTAATCTAAAATCAAGCCGTTTTAATTGGCATAGAACATGAAATCTCTTTTACCTTGTAAAATTAGAGGAACGTGTAATGTATTTAATCATGGCACTGAAGGAGGGGCTATAAAAATTTCTGGCATATATAGGGGTTTTAACATCAGAAACATTGCATTCCTATTTTGACTACAAAATTTTTCTGTCTTTCCCTGAGCAAATCATGGAAACAATACAAGACTGTAGGGGGAAAAAAAAAAAAAAAAACCTGCCTTCTTTGCATCAGCTACTAAATTGTCATATAACATTGGGACAGACACTATTTTATCTAGGATCCATTTTCACCTCTGAAAAAATGGCTGGGAGTAGACAGTTTATAATTAACAGTTGATAACTTGTATTTAGTGCATTCATTTCAATATTTTTATGTTTCAACTTTTCCATTTGTTAAAATATCTTTAAGTCTAAGTGATTCTTGGTCTTTTAACAACAACAAAAAAGTATGATACCCTTACAATGTCTTTTGATATTTAGAACCACATGCATTAAAATTAGTAAGTATTGTGGCCTGCTGTACAATACTGCACAATTTGCCATAGTCCTTTTTTAATGCCATAAGGATTTATTGAATTCCTTTTATATTACTAACTAATATAAAACATGTACCTTAAGCAATACATGATAAATGATAAAGGCCTTAACATGCTTACCAATACATGCTTTTACTGTGGGAGAATATTATTATGTCCTATGTATGTATAGTCATGTGTATTTTCCTTCTTTAATGTCCCTTTAAAGGGTAAATTACCATAGTTCTCAGTTTCAACACCCTCATAGAAAAGTGGGTAAGAAGGAATTTTATATGTAGAAGAATAACCATAATATTTTAATTATCCAAATGGAATTTTGGTTATTAATATGGGAATAAGCATTTGGGAGTAAATAAAAAATTGTTGAATGGCAATTGATTGTAAAAGCAATTAAGGTTCTAGCATTACTTTAGCAGTGTAAATGGATTGCAATAACACAGGGTTTCATTGTTGCATTAGAACTTGGCATCTAGTTCTTCCAAAAGGATTCCTTAAACTCTTCATTAAGCAATAGGCAAAATACCCTGAAGATATGAACCTTAATTTGACTCGTACCACTGAAGTTCAGAGAGTGAAGTAGGGTGACAAGAAAGAACATAAAGTACCAGTACAGTGTAAAGAGTACTAGTCTAAGGGTCAGCGACTAGGATCTTCATGATTCTGCTGCTATCTGCTTGGGTTACTGTAGGACTAGCTCCCTGATTTCTCAGAGCTCCAGTGTCCCATAGTAGAAAATACGACAAAGTCCCATGTTCTTTCCTGATCCATCACTCTATGAATTGATGCTTCCAGGTGAAGGAAACAAATAGTTCAGATTGTTTTTGTATTCATGGGTCTCTTTAGGTTCATTTTCTGTGAAATAGTTTTCTTCCTCTTCCTTGTAGCACGCTAAGATAAGGGAGAGTTCTCCATTTTGGGCACACTTCCCAAGGTACTTAATTGGAAATGCTGCCTGTTACAAAATCACCTTTGTTTCCACCAGTTGCTATAGCTTCAGAGACTCCCAATTCCGAGAGTAAAACAGTGGAAGGAAACAGAGAGCATCTATGGTAATTCTTTCATATCATTGGAAATGAAATTGACTGAGGAATTTGGTAACTTTCTACTCTGTCCCACTGCTCTTAAAGCTAGGAACCAGTTTTCTAATCTAAGATTTTCTAATTCTTTTTTTTTTTCTTCTTCTTCTTATCCATCTTCAGTACAAAGACCATCCAGTGAATTTTAGTAGATTCCACAAAGGCATAATAGGACAACTTTCCTTGTCTATCTCTCAAAAAAACTAACCCAATGTGATAAAATTAGGATATTATAATTTTTGACATAGGAGCTCTGGTAGTGTAGTGCCTAAAGCACTTGACTGCTAACCAGAAGGCTGGTGGTTCAAACCCACCAGCCATTCCTCGGAAGGAAGATGAGGCAATCTACTTCCTTAATGATACTGCCTCGGAAACCCAAGGAGGGATCACTATGAGTCGGGTCCGACTCGGTGGCACATAACAACAACAACAACAACAACAACTTTTTTACATATATTAGGTTGCTGAGAGTAACTTGAGGGGTATGCACACCCTATTCTGCAGGATTTTGAAGGAAAGAAGTCAAAATTGCATTTTTCATGCAGAAGAGTTTATTTTCTTCATTTAATACATATAAGGCAACATCCCTTAAATCATCCAACATTTGAAGAAAACAAAACAAAACAAAATTTCCAATGCCACCAGATTTTTTTCTCTCTATTTTTCTGCCTTGACTCATCAATCCAGCTCACTTAGACACCAAAGAGAGTTAATGTTCAACTCAGTAAGAACTTTTTGGAACAACCTTAATAAAATTTGCTTAATAAATATTGCTACTGACTGTTGCAATCTTGCCATAGGGTCACTGGAAAGCTTGTCTATGGTTTGCCTTAAAATCAGCACGCGAGCCCGCAGCATTACGCACTGATTCCCTTTGTAAAAGGTTAACTAAAATACATTGCTGCAATAATTTGTTGAAAATACTTCTGTCACAAGTGTGTGGCAAGTTTGCAAAGGTTTTCATGAACAAGATACTTGAGTTTGGTGCTTTTGTTTTAGCTAACTAAAGGTCACACACAAACTTTCAGAAGTGCCTCTATTTACTACAAAGAAATAATCTAAACTTATTTTCTTTTTCATAGGAAGTTGTCCTTGAGGAAGGCACAATTGCTTTTAAAAACTGGGTTAAAACAGGTACTGAAGTTTACAGACAGTTTTGGATCTTTGATGTGCAAAATCCACAAGAAGTGGCAGTTAATAGCAGTAACCTTAAGGTTAAGCAAAGAGGACCTTACACATACAGGTAAGTGAGTCCCAATATCTAAGTGGTACTCTTTTCCTGACCATACGTATTTCTCCAAATACTTTCATTTGATGACTGCTACTTTATTGAACTGTACTTACCATTTTATTGCCTACAATATACATTAAATGATTTTTTTTTCTACTTTTGTAGATCCTTATTTAAAGATTAAATGTTAGGATATTTCATATTTTGAATAAATTAATAGCATATTAATATACACGAATCTAGAAGTAGAGTTAATTTATCCAAATATTCATTATTAGTGGACCATGTATTGAAAAAGAATATGGATTTTATTATAAATTTATCAGCATCAAATAACTGTCCAGCATTTAAGAAAGGAGCTCTGGGGGCTAGTGCCTAAAGCATTTCACTGCTAACCAGAAGGCTGGTGGTTTAAACCCACCAGCCACTCCTCAGAAGGAAGATTGGGCCATCTGCTTCTGTAGTGATACTGCCTTGGAAACCCAAGGTGGGGTCGCTACGAGTCGGGTGTTTTTTCCTGTGGCATATACTGCCACATGTCCATGATATTGCCTAAAAAGGCTTGATCTTTATTGTTACATACAAAATTTGACCTAAGCAAATATTTAAATTTTTTTTCATGGTGTTATATTTCTTATGTTGTTAGCAAAGCCTATGTGAATATCTTGTTCCAAAAGAATATTTCAGCTATTATCTGCATCTATGAAAACTTAAAATTCATGTGACAAACAAAATATCATTGTTTAAAAATCATAACCTGAGACAACTGAATAAGTGGAAGGAAAGAGAATGGTTACTTAAATTTGGGAATTTATCTTTTGTTTAGAGAAGATTGATGTATTTTACTTTTAAGGACATAATTTATGAAATGAGAAACTATATAAATATATCAGGAGCTCTGGTGGTATGGTGGTTTAAAGCATTTGATGTTGACCAAAAGTTTGGCAGTTTAAAACAACCAGCCACTCAGTGGGAGAAAGATGAGGCAGTCTGCTTCTGTAAAGATTTAGTCTTGGAAACCCTATGGGGCAGTTCTACTCTGTCCTAACAAGTCACTACTAGTCAGAATCAACTAGATGGCAATGGGTTTGGTTGTTTTATATAATGTTTATCAATCATTGGTGAACCTAGTCCTCTCCTGATACCAGCCATCTTCAGAAACAAAACAAGTGGTGGCAAATATAAATTATATTCTTAAAGCCTTTAATCCTGTCTCTCTGAGGGCAGAAAGTGTGGAGTGGAGTGTGTGTATACTTGATTTGCTTGAAGAGCAACAAAGAAGGTTGAGAAAAGTTGCATTTTCAGCTAAAGTTTATAAACACTTATCTCTTCCTTATATAACAATTGTTAAAGTGTTTTCTCATCCACAAAAAGTCATTTTGTCCCAAGATATAACCAAAATGGAGTCTTTGTCTCTGCCTGGATGTCTTAAATAAGGGGAAAACAAAAAATTACCTACCTTTTAGGAAAAAAAAAAAAAGTTAAGAGGTTGAGAGTCTTCCATATATTGAGTTGAAACTACTTTCCCATAAATTAATCCCTGAATTCAAATGAAATTGGAAATGTAGAAGGATTTTCCTGCTAATGTGAGTTTAGTGAAACTTTGATAAAGCAGTGACTTGGGTCAAAGCATGAAATTACCTTGATTGTGATTGTAATTATATTCCAGCCTAATTAATTCCTAAGAGTCTGTTTCTTCAGAATATTTTCATAAGCACTGAAACGCACTGCCATCGAGTCGTACCCGACTCAGAGACCCCTCCTTGGGTTTCTGAGGCAGTATCACTATGGAAATAGATTGCCCAGCCTTCCTTCTGAGGAGTGGCTGATGGGGTTGAATCTCCAGCCTTCTGGGTAGCAGTCAAGTGCTTTTGGCACTATGCTACTTCTCATGGCCAACATAAATTTTTAAGTTACTTTGTTCTCACAAGACTAAAAGGAAATTTATCTTAGGCAAAATCTAGGACAAATTCTTTCCCTTGACCCTATAAATCAACTCTTTCCAAGTCTGTATACAATCTATTTTAAAATAATACTAATAAGTAATAATGTTGTCTTTTTAAAAGTATGCTCTAAACAGAGGGAGGCCTGTTTCAAGGATTTTCTCTTACTGAGTGCCATCTACTGATACAGTGTTGTAAGTGCAATTAAAATAAGCCACAGAATTTGGAACACAATTATTAGGCTAATGTTTCAAGTACGTATTTTATATACATAAATATCCCTGAAAATTAAAGTACTCTGACTTGAAATGCCAATAACATAATCTGATTTAAAAAAACAGTTATTCTATAGAAAATACATTATTAGTAATTCATTGCCCTCTGTATTGTTTCAGGGAAGTTTTTATGTTCTACATAGTTCTCTAGGACTCCAGGGAGAATAAAAAAAAAAAAGTTTTGGTGGAATTTCATTAAGAACAAAATGCATTTCTAGCTGATACGGAATTTTTATCTTTTTTTTTTTTTTAATGTGAGCCATTAATTTATGTATTAATTTAAAATACTTATTAAGAGCTTATATACCAGAAATTGTATTGGGAGATATAAACATTCATACTTTTACCCAATAGAAATTTACACTTTTGTTACAGCTGAGTGAAACTTTTCCTTTTTTTTTTTTTTTTCCAATTACAGTCCGAATTTTTTCCAGTTTTTTCACCTGGTTATCTATTCACCTTACATATTAGACATTCGGGTATATGATAGAGCAATGCTGCTTTGTAGTAGCCTCAATGAGTATTCTGTACTTGCAAAATAATTTTCTTCATAACAATCACATTCTACCAAATTCCTAAAATATAGTTTGTGCTTTGCAGCCTTGAGATGTTAGAGATAGGAGCTAATAAACATTTTGTTCAACATATAGGGAAAAAAGTTGTTCTGTACCCCTTAAAATGGAAATTACATTCCATTTTATCTGTAATTCTCATTAAGGTCCTTTAGAAGATGGAAAAGCCAGTTCCAGGCAGTCTGTACTATTTCGGGGTTTTTTCTAAGTAAGAAATTTTGCTCTTTGATATTACCTTCCTTAAAGCTCTCTGCTGTCTCCTCACCCTCAAGATAAAGTCTAAACATCTGATTAAGGGGTGCAATCCTTTTAGGTTAGAGATCTTGCTTAGATCAGTTTTCCCCAATCCCAAGTCTCACTCTATAATAGAGCCAAACTCAACCAATCACTTCTTATCTTGTACATGTTACTCCTTACCCTACTTTATCAAACTATACTTCTGTCATTAACTTATGTGGAATTTCTACCAAAATGCGTCTTGACTCTCATCCCCATAATGACCACACCAAGCCTGGCTTTGTATCTATTTTGTTTACCCATGGACTTTGTGGAAACATAGCACATACTATTTCTCCCCTACTGTTCCAATTTTCTGAATGCATGTTTAAGAGCTCCACTGATTAATTTGGTAGAGACAAACCACCAGCTTATTTATCATTTTACTCCCATTTTTAGCATAATTTATTGCATATTCTATGTACTAAAATATATTTGTGGAATGAATGAATGGCACCTGGGACTTAATAATCATATGAGACAATTTTGTAAATTTTTTTACTTATTTCTACTTTTCAGAGTTCGTTATCTAGCCAAGCAAAATGTAACTCAGGACCCTGAAAGCCACACAGTCTCCTTTGTACAGCCCAACGGCGCCATCTTTGAACCTAAGCTATCAGTTGGGACAGAGAATGACACTTTCACAGTTCTCAATCTGGCTGTAGCAGTAAGTAGACAAACAGAAAAATTATTTGTTTTAAAATACTCTGGAATTTGAAATAATCATCATTAGAACTACAGGTTTTATTTATTTTGCCATTTTTTATTAAATGAGTTTTTATGTAGCTGTGAATGGATTTATGATCATTTTGGAAGTCAGCAAAATCACTTGATAACCAAATAAATTAAAAGGCTACAAAAATGTACCATTATAAATGGGTGGGAGGCAAACTTGGCATGTCTTCTTCATGTGCCTGACTCTTGGATAGAGAAATGTAAATATCTGTGGATTAGACCAATTAGAATTTTAGTAATTGGTCAGGTTTGGCAATAGTTTTAAAGACAATTAAAAGAATTCCTTAATAAATTCAATTCTGGTATTCAGTGTATTTATTTGGTAAAATATGATAGGGCATTGGTGTCTTAAACAGTGCTTTCTTTTTTTGTAGGCTGCACCCCACATCTACCAAAATGCATTTGTTCAGGTGATACTCAATTCACTTATCAAAAAATCAAAATCTTCTATGTTCCAAACCAGAACTGTGAAAGAGCTGTTGTGGGGCTACAAGGATCCATTCTTAAGTTTGGTTCCATATCCTGTTGATACTACAGTTGGTGTATTTCATCCTGTAAGTGCCAATATGAACAGAAATATTGTTATGTTTTAATTGGACACTACAATAGCATTAGCCAAGCTTAGTTTTCTAATTTAGTGTATTAACCTTATTGCTGATCGGAATATATGTCCTAATTAAAAAAAAAATAAAAAAAGTCTGCATATCACATGGCTTCAACTTTCTTAGTTAGGAACATTTAAAAATTAATCTTTAAATTAAAAAACTGAGATTTAAACAGGTTCTGCTCTGCCTTTTATAAATATGAAATTCATTTAAAATTAACTTATAAACTATTTTTAATTTGATTTTCCTTCCCATAAAATCAAGTTCAATACCAATTTTTAATAAGTGTTAATATATCCATACTAAAATTCTTCCTTCTCCAAACCTGTGATAAATTATTTTTCCATTTAAATTGAAAAGTTAACCTAAATTTAACCAAATTTAAGTCAGACTACCCTATTTTTAAACGGTTGGTGAACTGTATAAACCAAACCACACCCACTGTTATCGAGTCTTTTCCAACTCATAGTAACTCTATAGAACAGAGTAGAACTACCCCACAGGGTTTCCAAGGCTGTAAATATTCACAGAAGCAGACTGAATCATCTTTCTCCTGCAGAGTGCTGGTGGGTTTCAATCACCAACCTTTTGGCTAGCAGCCCAATGTTTTAACCACTGTACTACTAGAGCTCCTTGCAAGAATGTCACGTGGTCCACTAATACCATGAAATGGCAATTGGGAGATTAAGAAAAGTGTGAATGTGTGGTGTAATTAGTCATTAGTTAATGTTCCAAATTAAAAATAGGATAAGCTGAATACTGAATTGGAATTTTGACTCTGATTTCATTTGGTACCATATGTGGTATTAGTTATATGCTCCTATTCATTGTTTTACTTTTAGATAGTGCTTGGGATTGCAAGGTTATATATCAATTAAAATATAAATGTAGAAACACTTAAGGGATCAGAGGTTCTGTTAGAATTATTATGTTTTAGCTTAATTACTCATTAACTCTTTGTCTGGTTTGGTAAATTTTGATTTTAACCTTATATACCTCATTTTGATATCAACTTATTAAAGATCATCATGTTTAGAACACTTTTAGAAATCATTGTTCCCTTACTATTTTTCAGTATCCTTTCACTTCAACATAATAGGGGTAGTGATTAAAATTCCCTCACTGGCTTTATTATGTCAAAGAATATTGGAGTTTGGTAACGTTTTCTTCTGGAATGTTATTGTCTTCCTTTGTCTTAGCATCTAGCACTTGTTCCTAGGCATCTTTCATATTCTATCCTTTAACATTTTTAAATTCTAATAATTTTAAAACCTTACTTGCATTTATACTTCAAACCCTACAAGAATAACTACTGTTTGAGAAATGTGAAGGAGAGGTACACATTTTATGACTTAGAAAATGTGACTTGTTCTAGAAATAATTTTTCTTGTTCATATCTTTTCAGTACAACAATACTGTAGATGGAGTTTATAAAGTTTTCAATGGAAAAGACAACATAAGCAAAGTTGCCATAATTGACACTTATAAAGGTAAAAAGTAAGTATCCAGGCGAATGCGTGTATCTGTGCGTGTGCTAGTTAGTGGGGTATTCTAAGGCAGGAGTGATATTCATTGAACTGCTGGCAAGACATAGGCACCAAGCTATGGAACAGACTCAGCTGTATCTCAGCCTATTGGTAATGTGTATTGTGCTAAGTGTTCCACTTATTCATGAAAACTAACATGGCTACCCCAGTGCATATTGCTGAATATCAGTCCAATTTTAGAGTTTGCTTTACCTTTATATGTGGGTCCTTTTCCATAAAGAAATTCAAAAGAACCATTCCCATCCCCATTACATATCCAGCACCTACACTTTACCCATACCAGCAGTATCACAAATGAAAAGTAAGAAAATCAATATATCAACTAATTGTCTAGCATTTGATAGAAAAATACATTTCACTGATTTTTTTATTTACTTTTTAAAAATTGAACATATGAAATACACACTGTGCATTCTTCCATCATGGCCTAAATGAGTCTGTCAAAATGAAGTTCAGTGAATCAGTGCCATTCTTTTCATGACTTTTCCACTATAAAACTATATTGAAATATTTTTCTATATTAATAACTCAAAAAACAAAACCACTGCCATCAAGTTGATTCCAACTCATAGTGAGCCCCATTGGATTTCCAAGGCAGCAAATCTTTACAGAAGTAGACCATGGAGTGGCTGGTGGGTTTGAACCACCAACCTTTTGGTTAGCAGTCACATATCTTAAGCACTTCACCACCAGTTATTGTCGTTGTTATGTGCCGTCGAATCGGCCCCGACTCATAGCAACCCCTCCTTGGGTTTCTGAGGTGATATCACTAAAGAAGGAAGTAGATTGCTCAACCTTCCTTCTGAGGAGTGGCTGGTGGGTTTGAACTGCTAGCCTTCTGGTTAGCAGTCCAGTGCCTTAGGCACTATGCTACTGCACCACCAGAGCTTCTTATAAATAACTCAGCTTTTTAAAAACGTTATCAGTTCAAAAGTGCAATTAGTACTTCAATACAGGTCTAAAACTTACATATGAAACCTAAAAATACAGAAGATACCTTCTCTGAAGTTGTCAAAGAATGAGCTATTGTCACATAGACACATTTTCCATTTTTTTTTAACCTGTTCGCCTGGAGAAAGCATAATTTAATATGTGTGTGAAAAGAAAGAACTACAATGGTGGATGAGATCTTTTCTTCTCCTTACAGTTAATAAGTATGTTCTAGGCTAGTTGTTTTCTGAAAGGAAAAGTAGTAATAAAGCATTTAGAAATGAAATCTATGCAAATAGAAAAAGATGTTTTATTAACATCAGTAATGCTGGCTCATATTGAACTATTATCTGAAAATTACATATTTAAAATCAGTGAAATATTTACTAATGTAGAATTTTTTCTTCTAAAGTGTTCTCAGTAACATCAGTTTATTTACAGACACATTTAATGGAGAAAAACAAAAACTTTAAAAGGTTCATTTTGGTAGAAATCAGATCCATGTTTGTTTATTAAGGAACAATGAACATTTCATTCCATTTCTTATTCCAGAGAGGTTTTGAGAAGAGTGGCTTAGATATCCTAAATACAGTGAGAGTTTCACAGCAATTCAAGAGAAGGGTGAGCTTGATTTAACTGACCATGGCAAGATGGAACACATTTAACATCTTCTGCTTTTAAAAAAGCAGCAAAAACAGCAACTCCTTGGATTGACATCTAAGGGAATGTTGAGTGGGGGAAAAACAGTTTTTTCCATCACTAAAAAGTGCTGAAGGTACAGGGAGTACATTACTACTAATGTTTTATTACTTTCAGATATGTGTGACTGATTTAGACACCAGAACATAAATTAATCAGTTCTGTCTTACTTCAATGCCAGTTCATGGAAGAGCTAAAAGGGAAAAAAAGTATAAATTGCTTATCTAAATGTTTCCAATCTCTATTCATCTAAATATTTGATTCTTTTCCTCCCCTCCTCTCTACTTCCCTCTTCTATCTTATCCTTACATCAGTTTCCACTTCATAAATACTTGCCTTCTATTCAGTACAAATGCTCAACCTACCACCAAATAAGTCATTTCTCCCAGGTAGGGGGAGGGGGGAAATTGCCCTAAGTAGACAGTTGAGTTCCTCATATACATTTCTCAATTTTCTTCTCTCACAACTCTGTCTATGCCAAGTTGTTTGCAATTAACTTGGAATTTGGCAGTTTTTCTTTTATAATCTAGCCACTTAGAAGGATCAGACACTTAATTAATCTCAAAAGGATGATATCTTAAAACAAACATGGACAAAAAGATTAGAACATTTCTTAAACTTACCGTTAATCACACTGAATCTTCATTATATTAGCAGAAGTATTAAATGGCAACACAAAACTGTAATGTGAGAAAGGTGCTCTTGAAATTAGAGGGTTCTATTGATTTTCTTTCTTTCTTTTTTCTTCCTGAGGAATCTCTCCTACTGGCCAAGTTATTGTGACATGGTTAATGGCACAGGTAAGAACACATTGTTTTGCGGTGAGGATCCCAATGAAACCACCTCACCCTTTCCCACAAATCCACTATCACATCTACTATGTCCTCAGAGCTGAGGGTGTGTTTGTTTGTCTTTATATCCCCACAGCAAAATATGGTCTCTATTTTAAGATAAGCTTAATAAATGTCTGTTTAATGTGACAGGATTTCTGAAGATTAACCATAGAGCATTTGCTCTTATTGCATTACTAGGGGAATGTTTGCTTTGTAAAACTTTACTTCATGACCTGCCATGCTAGCAGCAGTAAGAGGTTTGTTGTTGTTGTTGTTGTTTAAAAAAAAAAAAAAAAAAAACACCTGGGTAGTTATGCTTCTTTGCTAACACTGTACAGCTAACAATTTAGAATTGAAAGAATAATGATAATAATGAATGAGATAATTGCAAAAGGAAAACTAACAGAAGTGAGGTTTAAAGCTGAAGTGAAATTAGTGATGGCATAAGTTAGGGCCATCTATTTTGGAAAAGATCATCAGAATTGAGAGAGAAAAGAAAAACAAAACCAAGGTTAGATATCTAATAACCATGGAAAATACATGAAAAAAAATGAGCATGCTGAATTTTTGTTGTTGTTATGTGCCATCAAGTCAGACCTGACTCATAGCGGCCCCTCCTTGGGTTTCCGAGGCAGTGTCACTATGGAAGTAGATTGCCCCATCTTTCTTCCAAGGAGTGACTGGTGGGTTTGAACCGTCAGCCTTTTGGTTAGCAGTCAAGTGCCTTAGCCATTATGCTACCAGAGCTCCTCATTCTGAATTAGAACTGGGAAAAAAGAAAGCACTGTGTATTTAGGGTGTGACCAGATCTGGTGTATTACTCCTCTTGAGGAAAAAGCAAAGTACAAATCTTCCTATTGCATAAGTGTGAAGACTTTTAAAATCAATAGGAGTTTAACTAATTCCATGAGGTGATTAATGTGATTGAACTGCTAATAAGCAGAAGCATGGTGTTTACAAAGTTAATGAGGCAGTACCTTATAGAAAAGTGATGTAAAAAAGATGAATAAAGTTAAATGAAGAGTTAAGTAAAATAGAGGAAATAAAAAGAAATGCAGAGAATGCTTACTTTTCCAAAAGTATGGTAGAGTTTTACATGCTTATTTAATTTTGTTATCTCTCATTTGAGGAAAAAAACAACAACTATTAACTATTGAATTTACTTTGTGGATTTTAAACTCTGAGGGTGGGTGAAGACATTCCTTTCCAAAGAGAGCATTTTTGCAAATAAAGCATCAAGTGTCCCAGTGATAAAAACTATAGTGGTTGCATAAACATAATACTTCAGTCCTTAGATACAAAGATAAATATTACTGCGTTGCTCCTAAATACTGAAGGAGTCTTTATGCACTTAAGAAAAAAATTATTAAATGGTGGTGTCCAAAATTGAAAAGTAGATTTTTTAACAGGAGGAGGTAGAAAATTAATGACAAACATGTAAATTCCTGTGCATCAGGCATGAACTTAAACATATCTATGAGGAAATGAAGTAAACCCTAAGAAACAGAGATAGATGGGACAAGTCAAGGGACTAGGATGTGATCCCTGTGAGAGGAAATATTGGGTAGGATACTAGAGAAAAGAGGCTAATGAACCAAAAAGTTCTACTGTAGTGTCTTAGGCATTTGACTGCTAAGCAGAAGGCTGCCGGTTCAAACCTACCAGTCACTCCTCAGAAGGAAGATTGTGCAATCTACTTCTGTAGAGATACCACCTTAGAAACCGAAGGGAGGGGACGCTGTGAGTCCAATCGACTTGACAGCAGTGAGTGAGTGAGTGCTTCCATTGTGATTTAGAAGTGCTTTACTGGCTTCCTTCAATAAGTTTGAAGAAACATTAAAAAGGAAATGTTGAAATATGCTTAGAAAGTTTCTTTCTAAAATAACAATAATAATAACAAAACCCTGCTACTATTAGCTGTCTTGAGATTATCGCTCATGGTAATTTTTGGATATAATTAGGATAAATCCTTAATGATATTTCACATATTGATTTTTAAAGCTTTGCAATGTATTCTTTTCATTTAACTGCTAAGGCATTGGGAAGGCAGTTGTAGACTATACCCACATGGGGAACTATACCATAAGTTTCAGCAGAGTTTTATCTCCAATTCTCTCAAGTGCCAGGGTCAAGCGGCTATCACAAAGGACTGAAGGTGAAATTATGACAAGGTCACAAAGCAGGAGTACTTGCCAGAAAAAAAGAATTTAACTGCTTTGAACAGGCACATTGAGGGGTAGCTTATTTTAGTGGTATAAATTTGAGGAACAAATAGAGGTGTTATCTATTTCTTCATAAATATAATGTGTGCCATTGAATTATAACCATGATAGAAATTCAACAAATTCTATAAATACCCATTTAAATTTGATAGAAGGTGGTCTGGTGGCATTCTGCATAAGGCATTTGACTGCCAAACAGAAGGTTTGTAGTTCAAATCCACCGGCTGCTCCATGGGAGGAAGATGCAGTAATCTGCTTTTGTAAACATTTATAGCCTTGTTAACCCAATGGGGGTCGCTACTCTGGAATCAACTCCGTGGCAGTGCATAAATTTGATAGATACATTTTCAAACCATTGGTAAGAAATACTAAGAGAAATTTAATAACTAGTTTTTAAAATATTCAACAGCCACTAAATCCTATCCCCAAGGCCTCAAAAATTAACATTGCTATTGGGTTGATTCTGACTCACAGCAACCCTACAGGACAGAGTATAACTGCTGCATAGGGTTTCCAAGGCTGTAAATCTTTAAGAAAGCAGACTGCCTCATCTTTCTCCCACAGATGGGCTGGTGGGTTCAAACTACCAACCTTTTGGTTAACATATGAATGCTTTTAACTACTGCAGCCCCAGAGCTCCTCCCCGCAGCTACTGGAGCTCCTTCAACAGCTACTAGGGCAGGCAAATAAATCATTATCAAAAATGAGAACAAGGCAAATATAATAGCTATGCCACATGAGCTTCAGGGTAAGAAAATGCCACTCTACTGATGGGGTGGGGTGAGGTTTCAAAACACAATCACAGTTTCAACAATGATTTCACCATTCTTTCTTAAATGTTTCATTTATTTTAAGGAATGAGAAACTTCACTTTAATATGAAATGGAATACCAGTGACTGTGTATAGTATATAGGTGTGTTGTTCAGTATGGTAGCCATTAGCCACATGAGCTATTGAATACTTGAAATGTGACAAGAAGAAACTGAAATGTATTGGAAGTATAAAACACACTGGGTTTTGATATTTTGCTAATCAACTATTTTCTTAATAATTTTTATATTAATTACATGTTGAAATGATAATGTTTTGGATATATCAAGTTAAATAGAATATACTTTTATTTTCTTTATTTTTTAAAAAATTTATCTTGTATAAAATCTAAAATTCTATGTGTGCTTTGCATGACATTTTAATTGGACCACACTGGAATAGAGATTTCCTGATTTTTTAGAACACACTTAAAAGGTAATATCACGTGTTTGATTTCTAAATAGATGCAGCCTCATTCCCTCCTTTTATTGAGAAGACCCGGGTGTTGCAGTTCTTTTCCTCTGACATATGCAGGTAAACTAGGACACTAATATATTCTGTGAGTCAGAATTTTTTTCCTCAACTGAAAAGATACATATCAAGATGGCCAAACTTAAAAATTATGTCCTTTGGAATTTAAAAAAAAAATTACTTAGGGAAATATTTTCATGATTATTAAAAAAAGAAATACAATGTAGAATTCTTAATGTGTCTATTAGCTCTTTCAAACATGGAGAATGGTTGTTGTTGCTATTGTTATGTGCCATCAACTCATAGAGAACCCTCCTTGGGTTTCCAAGGCAGTATCATTACGGAAGTAGAGTGCCCCATCTTCCTTCCGAGGAGTGGCTGATGTGTTTGAACTGCCACCCTTCTGGTTAGCAGTCAAGTGCCTTAGGCACTATGCTACCAGAGCTCCCATGGAGAATGGTAGCAGATGATAATGCAAATTTCAAATGATTTTTCTCTTTTTCTAACCTGTCTAAGCAATAACTATTTTTCTTTTAATTTCATTAAACTAGTACTATATTTACTAAAGGGATCTCTGGTAGCGTAGTGCCTAAGGCATTTGACTGCTAACCAGAAGGCTGACGTCTCAAACCCACCAGCCACTCCTGGGAAGGAAGATGGGACAATTTACTTCCATAGTGATACTGCCTCGGAAACCCAAGGAGGGGTCGCTATGAGTTGGGGCCCACCCGACGGCACATAACAACAACAACATATTTAAGGAAAATCCAGCTTAGAAGAGCATACACAAAATTCCTAGAGATTTCTAGAGATGAGGATGAAATTGTTAGAGAACTATGCTAGTTAACATGCTCTATTACTGCTGCAGCATGTATTCAAATTGCTGAAGCCCAATCAACACAACACAGACACTGGAACCCCTAGCCCTATGCTTGAATCCTAGCCAGTCCCTAAAGACTGCATGGCTGTGGGGCAGCATTCAACACCTCTGACTCTTGTTTTCTTATCTGCAAAATTGAAGGGAGCAGTGCTTCTTCGCACAGGGAGTAGAAGGTTGAGTACTGAGCCCTGGGCCATGGTGGACAATTGGTAAATGATGTGGTTGGGTGAGATCTATATCAAGTATGCACCTGCACATACCCAAGTGACTGAAAGGACTTTCTTTCCAGGATTAAGTTTTCAAAAGACAGAACTTCATTTTTATTTCATTTGTCCCGGGCACAACTAAGGGATGAGAAGGAATTCAGATCAATAATATATATGTAAATCATATATTAATTATCATTTAATATTAATTAATTGTATTAATTAAAGATACTCTGAGAACTATGTTCAGGATCACTATGCCATAATAATTCACAAACATAAACTGCTCTCAGAAGCATTTCAGAACAAGGGAAGAATAGTTCATGCTCAAGTTTCAAGTTTTGGTGTGTTTTAACATTTTACCAGAGCTGTTGTCCTAAGAATTAAAAAAGAATTTAAAGTTTGAACAAGAGTATTTTTTACTAAATTCAAGCAAGAATGTAGAACTAAAAAGAATCTTTTAAAAAATCTCCACAATGTGTTTAAGATACCTGAAATAATCTCTCTCTCTCTCCCTCTTCTCTCTCTCTCTCTCTCTCTCTCTCTCTCTCTTTGGTCTATGTTTAGGTCAATCTATGCTGTGTTTGGATCTGACATTAATCTGAAAGGAATTCCAGTGTATAGATTTGTTCTTCCATCCAAAGCCTTTGCGTCTCCAAGTCAAAATCCAGACAACCATTGTTTCTGCACAGAAAAAATTATTTCAATGAATTGTACATTATATGGTGTGCTAGATATTGGCAAATGCAAGGAAGGTGAGTAACTATTTCCAATATCATGGTCCATGACATAATTTATAGATTCTTTAAGAAGTAGCCTTTTGCCCTGAATCTTTTCCATGTAAAGTTCTAATATCAAAGTTACAAAACATAATGGCAGGAGGGTAAGTGTGGAGCCAGAACTTTTTAGCATTGATTTTCTATTGTTTTTGAGGTCAGTGTTGAAAAAGTTCTTTATCATTGATAAATCCTGCCTGAATTTCCCAGCTGCTACTTTTGGATTTGGGTAAAATTAAAACAATCTGCAGAATACCCTGAGCATCCCAAATTATCTGTCAGCCATTTTTTTTTTTAAGTTTTTCTTTCCTGGAAAATGATAAATATAAGTAAATATACTTTCGGTGTGTCTCTGAAACAAGAATTGACTTAAACACAAAGTTTGAAGTCAGACTTATTTTGCTCACTTTCTTCATTCTGGAGTGTGGTAGACAAAGAAAGAAAAAAAAAACACATTCTTAAAGTTAAGAAATCAATTCTTACTCACTAGATATATACATGGGGAGCTCTGGTAGCATAGTGGCTAAGACACTTGCCTGCTAACCAGACGGCTGGCGGTTCAAACCCACCAGCCACTCCTCGGAAGGAAGGTTGGGCAATCCTACTTCCGTAGTGATACTGCCTCGGAAACCCAAGGAGGGGTCGCTATGAGTCGGGGCCGACTCGACGGCACATAACAACAACAACAACAACAGATATATACATGAAATATGAACGTGTGTAGGTAAAACTTCATGTTAAAAGTTTAAGCTTACATACTAAATATTTACAGCCTATAAATAATAAATATTAACTGATTAGTTAGTATGAAGACTTAGAATTTTATATTTTGTTTTTATACATTAGTAATATGTTTTAATTCTCTCTCATTCTCAACCCTATCCTCCATTTACGATTCAAAATCAACTATACCTTTTTTAAAAGATTATAAAGCTTATTTTAAATGATATCTTTTCTGATTGGTACTTGAAATGAAAATAATTTATCCCCAATTGCCTCTTAAAACTTATTTTCAGGAAAACCTGTGTACATTTCACTTCCTCATTATCTACATGCAAGCCCAGAGATTACAGAAAATATTGAAGGTTTACATCCAAATGAAGAAGAACATAGGACATATTTGGATGTTGAACCTGTAAGCAAATATAATATTGATGTAATTTTGTTAATACTGGGGGAAAAAATCACTGCCATTGAGTTAATACTTGTTTTTAAAAATCAAAATGAAAGAGAAAATAAATTACTTCCTTCTTGTCAGTCACAATGCTTGTGATCAGATTGTTCCTTTCTTGATAAATCACTGAGGCTTTCATTTCAGTGAAAACCACATTGACTTCTTCCAGTTGCTGCATACAAAATGCCAAGCTAATACAATTTTAGTTTTTCAGTCTATGAGCTTTATAAATATTTTTAATGGCTCATGGAGATAGGAATGCCAATAGTGGAAATGATTCTAATTAACTTAAAACAATTCAATGTGAACTATTTTATGCTTATTTTGAACTTATTAAGAGACTTTTTGTTCTCTTTTTAGATAACTGGATTCACTTTACGATTTGCAAAACGGTTGCAAGTCAATATATTGGTCAAGCCAGCAAAAAAAATTGAGTGAGTGACTTTTAATAAGGTTATCGTTATGTGATTTTTAGTATTTTCTTGTAAGAATGTGAGTGAATCTATAAAAGTGAGAGGAAATAATATCAAATATCAACTTCTCTTTAGTTTAATGTCATTAAACATTCTTTATAAAATACTTATGATTATAATTTAGAATTATATATAGAGCTGATCAAAATTGTATTAACACATATTTTAACATGCTTTCTATTTGAGTATTTGGTGACTCTCTCATTTTGCTAGCTGTCCAAATATTTCTATGACAATTATTTCTAGAATTCATATTTTACCTTTGCAAGCATAATTTGTTGAAAAGGAAAACCTGATTTTGAGAAAGAGTCAATCTAATATATTAGAAAGAAGTGTAAGAGTGAAAAAAGTCTGAGAAACAGCTACCATATTTTCATGTATAGCACATTCATGTAAACAACACACGTGCATGTAATACACATAGCACACAGAGGAAACTGAGTGAGGACATAGTGTGGTTTACAAAGACCTTTCAATGTGTGCATTATTTCTGTAAAAACACAGTATATTAAAATTTAAATTTTTAATTAAAAAAATTTAAATTTAAAAATTAAATTGGGAAAAAAAATCAAGAAACTCAACCAATTCTCAAGAGCTACTGATTTCTGAACATTTGTTTTAAGTGATAATTATTAAAATCTGTTATATATACATACATATATTAGCATTTATTTTCATAATTATTTTCAATGTCTATTACAGGGCATTGAAGGGTCTGAAGAAGAATTATCTTGTGCCTATCCTTTGGCTTAATGAGGTTAGTATTTTAATCTTTTAGTCATTAAAGCAGTAAACATTTTTGTGTATGAAAATCATCTCGATATTTCAAAATAGGATATGCATGTATAATAGTTGAAGTTGTATGTATTTTTATCGTGCATAAGTAAATACTGGTGAATTTATGCATTATTGATTGCACCTATTTGAGAAAACCAATTCACACAGAATTTTCAAGTTTGTGTTAGTTTTCAGTTTCATCTAGGACAGGTATTTCCTGTCACTTAAGATTATTTTCAAAATGCATCTAAAATTTAGGAAAGGGGCTTACATACATGTAAGTTCAAATAAATCAAAACTCAGTGAATATTACAGTTCTGATTAAAGCCTACGGTGGGGCAGTGGTTCAGTGCTTGGCTGCTCACCAAAACGTTAGAGTTTCAAACTCAGCCAACAGCTCCACAGGACCTGCTGTCTGCTCCCTAAATCAAAAGTATCTCCTGAAGTCTTCTTTAAACCAAACTAACTCACTGCCATCAAGTCTATTCCAACTGATACCAACCTGATAGGACAGACACGAACCACCCAAGCAGTTTCCAAAGTCATAAATATTCATGGAAACAGATTGCTTTCTCCTACAAAGTGTCTGGTGTGTTTAAACCGCTGACCGTTTGGTTAGCAGCTGAGTACTTAACCACAGCAACAGCAGGGCTCCTACTCAAACAATAAGTTAAACCAAATCAAACTCACTGCCATCGAGTCAGAGCTGACTCATAGCAACCCCTCCTTGGGTTTCTGAGGAAGTATCACTAAAAAAGTAGGTTGCCCAATCTTCCTTCTGAAGTTGGCTGGTGGGTTTGAACTGCCAGCCTTCTGGTTAGCAGTCAAATGCCTTAGGAACTACACCACCAGAACTCTTAATTAATAAAGAATGTCTCCCTTGAGCATTGTGTTCTTTTAAAGAACTATTTATATGAGATTAAGTTGATAACAATTTGACAGGTTAGAACAGAAGCTTAGAGGACAGTGAGTTTATGTCAATGGAGGAATATTTCAGAAAAGGAGAATGAGAATGGTTGCGTGACTTGAGGAATGTAATCAATATCACTGAATTGTACATGTAGAAACTGTTGAATTTCTGTATGTTTTGTTGTGTATATTTTCAACAACAAAAATAAATAAAATATATATATATACATAAAAAAAAAAAAAAGAAAGATTACAACCACTCCTCACAAATTGAAATGGTTAGGTTCCAAAAACCAGGTTGTTGTCAGAAAATGGAGAATGGCCAAATCAGATCACAAAATGGAGGATGACTACATCATTATATAACTGCCAAATTATATTGTTACATAATTGCCAAATTACACCATAACATAACTGCCAAACCACTGAGAATGATGACTCAGTCAATTGACAATAACCTTACCCTTCGGAGCCCATAACTCTTGCCTCACACTTTGGTGTTTGTACCTGCCAGATATGTGTCCTTAATGTACAAAATAGTCAGCAGATTTTTTACTATTTCATGAATGTGAAGTGTCAGATAACAAGACAGTAAGTGACAGCTGATGAGAGACAGTGCACAGCCAAGAAAACCTTATGGGGAAACTCTAGTCTGTCAGAGGGGTCACTGTAAGTCAGAACCACTTCTACTTCCGTAGTGATACTGCCTCGGAAACCCAAGGAGGGGTCGCTATGAGTCGGGGCTGACTCAACAGCACATAACAACAACAACAACAACAACAACCACAACAAGAAAAACCTACTATGCTTATAAATATCAGGTTAGAACAGGCATAGACACTCTAGGCTGTCACACACAAAATACTTCTAGAGTAAACCACTGAGGTGAGTAGCCAGAGAATTAGGAAATGCATTGCATAACCTATAGAGGGACTGGGACTTTTGACTCTTGACATTTCCCTCTCTCACCAGAAAATATCTTTTAGAAAATTGTGAAATATTTCAGAGAAATGTTTTTTAAGATCAAGTGAGTCTTGATACACTGAAGACTGTTATACAATGTATTTAACAAGGAAGGGGTTATATTTCACTCTTGAAATACTCTATCTTGGCATCTACTTCCTTCTTTGGAATGTAAGGGGAATTCCACTGTTTTGTTTTATAACTGCAAGTGAATAACACATACACAGGTGTTTGGAGGAAAGGGTGATATACTTGGAAAGTTTGAATGCTTTTCTTCCTAGTCTACTCACGTAACACTAATTACTAACTTGATTACAGACTGGTACCATTGGCGATGAGAAAGCAGAAATGTTCAGAAATCAAGTGACTGGAAAAATAAACCTCCTTGGCCTGGTTGAAATGGTCTTGCTTGGTGTTGGTGTGGTGATGTTTGTTGCCTTTATGATTTCATACTGTGTATGCAGATCAAAGAAAGTAAAATAAGTAAGTATATGTAAAAGAAATGTACTGTTGCAATAACATTCACTTATATATTATTTGCTTCCATTTTGTCAACTAGAGGTTAAAAATTAGATCATAAATATTTTGAGATATGCCCAGCAAACTATCATTTTTAATGAATTATCAAGTTTCTACCTGCTCAATGTAATGTAAATTACAACACAATTGAAGACAGCCTTAATTCTGGGAGAGAAAGGATAAATTGGCATCTTTGTGATGTTAGTACAAATATAACTCTTGTCTAAACTTCTCACTTGTTAATTTCTCTATTATTTACAGCCAGTTAATTATTTTAAAAATAACAAATACATAATTTTATATATTAGTGACAAGAAAAAGTTATAGAAGTTAAGAAATGGTGGATATGTGAGATTGAAATTTATAAAATCCTGTTAAGGAAATATAATTAAGATGAAAAGATAAATACAATTTATCAATTATCATTCATCAATAACTGAAAATAATATTAGAACTAAGAATAATAATAAAAGATAGTTACAAAAAGGCTAAAATACGTTATTTTAAAAATAAAAGCTGAGGAGGCGGGGCAAGATGGCGGACTAGGCAGAAGGATTGCACAGACCCTCTTCAACAAAGAAAAGGGAAACCAATTAACACAGACACA